CCCAAGGGTTCTCAAATTGAAATATCCCACTGAGTTTACAAGTATGCATATCATGTAAATGTTAAGACTTGATTAGCCATTTAGCAAGGTAAGTATAAACTATATATAGTTTTGTAGCCAGCAAAAGAGGCTACACACATAACACACACACACACACACACACACACACACACACACACACAGGTAAAGCTGGCAAAATTTGAATAAGGTCTGTGGGTTGTACCAACATAAATCCCCTGGTTGTGATATTTGTGGTAGGTAGCATTCTAAGGGGATCTTGTTGACCCTCATTCTTGTGTAATCTCATGAGTGTGGCAGAACCTGTGAATATAAAGCAATGTCATTCCCATACTTAAGTTATATAGAAATGGGGATTTTCCACATGTAATTAATTAAGGCCCCAAGTCCTTTGATCTTAAGTCATGAAATTTGCATTTTTGCAGCAATAAATTATAGAGAGCACGAGCCTTCATCAAACACAGAACCTGCCCCACCAAGATCTTGGGCTTCCCAACCTCCAGAATTGTGAGAAATCAATGCTTATTTTTAATAAGCAAACAAACAAAAAAGATATGGAGATTAGATCTAGTCATGTGATCCCTTAAAAGGGCACAGGACGCTTCCTGGTGAGAGAGGTTACAAAATGTGAAAGGGATATGAACTTCTTCCCTGGTTTTGGAGAGGAGGAGACCGTGCAGCAAGGAAAGCAGTAATTTTTAGGCACTAATAATGTGAAGACCATGATGTAGCTACACAGTGGTATCTGAAAAAAACAACCTTACCTGCATTTACAAGAAAACAAGTAAGGCTGCAAAGAATTGAGCTATGCTTTCACCTTGAGAAGCTAGGGAAAAAAGTCAAAATAAGCTCAAGAACAAAATTAGTAAACATGAAAGCACAAATTATCAAGATCAAAAGCAAACAACAGCAACAAACACGTAGATCTGGTGAAGAGAGCAAAGATATGTGAGCAACATTCAGCATGTCAAAGACAGGACGCAACTTTAAAGCACAAAAGAGAATATATTAAAGCACCACAGAATTTTAAATCCATGTGAAACAGATGACTTCCTCAAAAAATAAAAATGTCCAAAACTAGAGGAAAAAAGAAATAGGAGCACCATACAGACCGATCTCCATAAAATAAACGGAAAAGATGTTCAAAGATGCACACCTGTAAACTAAAACAGGTCTAAGAGATTGCATGGCAAATTCTACAGACATTTGCAATTTGTATAAGCAGTATCAGAGCACAATAGAAATAGATTTTAAGATCCTAAATAAAATATTTGCTTATCAAATCCTGGATTTATCAAAAGAATAATACATCTTAACAGCTTGAGTTTGTCCTCAGGATGCTAAAATCGCTCCATGCTAGAAAATCCATGAATATATGTTATTATATTAACAGATTAATACAGAAAATTTATATGATCATCTCAATAAATACCAAAGTTTCATTTGCTATAATGTCACCTCATACACAATAAGAACTACAACAAAACTGTTCAAATCATTCAGTAATCTCAAACAAAAGGAGTCCCGAGCAAGGCATCGGTTCGCTCTGTCTCTGTCTCAACACATACTCTTAACAAAAACCAGTGGTTCCAGAAGCCATTACACAAGAGATTCTTACATTTTACTACATTAATATACATGCAAGGCTAAAATATGGTATACACCACACTAGTGCAAGATGTTAATAACAGAGGAAAGTCTCAGAAGTGGGAATATGGGGGAGAGAGGGAATATGCTTTCGTTTGATCTTTGTAAAACTGTTCTGAGAAATGAAGTCTATTAACATAAAAATATATGTGTCTAAGTTTATACATCAACAAAGAGAAACAAAACACAACCAGCTACAGAAAACGTTGGCAACACCTTTTCTATCTGTCTGTCTTATAATCTGTTAGTGAAGTGGTGAGCTGAGGCACGGCCTCTTTGAGAAGCTTTGAATTAAAATTTAAAATCCACATACTCTTCAATTGAACAAGTTTATTTCAATGAGTTTAACATATAGAAATATCACAACTGAATGCAAATGTTTATCTATTAACGTGTTTATTTCTAATTGTTCATAGTAGGAAAAGACTGAAAACTACCTAAATGATTATCAAAAGATTAAGGGACTATGACACATCCATGTAACGAAATATCAAGCAGCCATGTTTCCAAAAGAGAAGTAGATTTGTAAGCACCAAGAGAGAATGCCGTATTCATAAGTGTGGTTGGTGGCGGTGTGGCAGAAGGCAACAGCAGCAAGTGGAACCCTTGGTGTTTATTAAGGGTAGGTGTGTTTGAGAGGCAGAGAGGGAAAAATCCACGCCGTACTTTACCAAGAGAAGACTATTAAAAGAAACTCAACAGGCAGATGAAGGGATAAAGATGTGGTACTACTCAGCCACAAAAAAGAATAAAATAATGCCATTTGAAGCAACATGGATGGACATAGAGATTATCATACTAAGGGAAGGCAGTCAAACAGACAAATACTATATGATAGCACTAATAAGCAGAATCTAAAAAAAATGTGACAAATGAACTTATTTACAAAAAGAAACATACAGACACAGAAAAAAATTATGGTTATCAAACAAGAAAGTGGGGAAGGGATAAATTAGGAGTTTAGGATTAAAGGCTGCAAACTACTACATATAAAAAGACAAACAACAAGGTCCTACTGTACGGCACAGGGAGCTATATTCAATATCCTGTATAATAATCAACTATAATGGAAAGAATATGAAAAAGAATACATATATATATATATATTATATCTGAATCACTTTGCTATACATCAGAAACTTACACAACACTGTAATAAACTATACTTCAATTTTGAAAAAGTAATAACTTTTTAAAAAGGCCACAGAACTGGTGCTGGGAGAGAAAATGGAGACTGGGAGTCAGGAATGTGAAAGAAACCACTTTTTACCATTTATTTTTATTTTATTTGAATTTTTTCCCATGTATATATACTTAAAGAATATATATCTTAGGGGGGAAAATAAAGTAAGGAAAGTAAGAATGCAAAAGTATATTCTTACCTAGGTAAAAGTTGCCTATCTCAAATCCACAATAGTCAGATGTCAGAGTGACCCATTAGAATCAGCCCCAATAAATTCAGACATTAAGAAAGTATATGCACTATCTGTGCTAATATTCAATTTGTACCTGATGCAAAAAGATGGGCAGGGGCTATAAATTCTAGAAATAATGTAAATTATCACATTCACAAGTGATATAATTATCCACATAGAAAATCCTAAAGAATCAACTGAAAAATTAATAAAACTTTATTTTTATTTTATTAGAATATTTTTTATTTATTCTAAGAAGTTTACCCAGGTAGTTAAATACAAGATTCACATATAGAAATCAATAGCATTTTTTATGCATCAGATAAAACTAACCAAAAAGTATAACTTAAACACACACACACATACATTCAAAATAGCCACATTTCAAAATGTACAGGACTAAACATAGAAAAGAAACATACTGTACTTTTGTGACAGAAATTATACAACTTTATTAAAGAATACAAAATAATATTTGAACAAATGGGGAGATATACCATTGTATAAAGATGTCAATTCTTCTATAAATTAATATCTCAATTAAGGGAAATTCCTATCAAATTGCCAATGGATTTACTTGAAAGCTTATTCTAAAATTCATCTATAGAAAAAAATATTTAAATAGAAACCAGATAATTTTGATACAGAATGAGGGTGACACTATACCATTCAAAGGGCAAAATAGAAATGATCCCTGAGTGGGAAAAGATGGTCGTCTTCACTAATAGAGAAATGCAAAATAAAATAACAAGATAGTTTTTGTCCTTAGATATCTTTGAATATCTAAAAGATATTTGGCGGGGGAGAGAAACGAAAACTCACAGATACTGTTGGTGGAAGTTTACTTGGTCTAGTCTTTTTTTAAAGGTGATTTGGAAGATTAAAACCTTGTGCAAGGAATTCCCTGGTGGCCCAGAGGTTAAGACTCCATCTTCCAGTGGAGGGGATGGGGGTTCAATCCCCAGTCAGGGAACTAAGATCCCACGTGCTGCACAGTGCAACCAAATGTTAAAAAAACAAACAAACAAAAACCATGCATATGGTCCAATCCAGCAGTAACAAGATAACTTTCAGACCTGACTCCAGAGTACATGTAAACACCCGCCCAAAGAGCCTGATCAAGCATGTCATGTAGCACCAAGTCTTTCCAAACTAGAAACAATTCAAGTGCTCATTAGGAAGACAGTTTTGTTTTGTTTTGTTTTTTTTAACATAGCACAGCCATCTTAGGGGATACAGTGCAGTAGTTTAAAAAGCAAACCAACCTATTCCTATTGACATTGCAAGAACTTCAAGATCACTTATGTACTGCAAGAACGTGTGTTCTATGTGACAGTTTATGTTCAAAATCTGTACATAGTTGTGCACATACATGTGATTGTAAATATACAGAACAAAAACAAATGGTGAGCTTTTTTCTGGGAACAAGGATTAGAGATGCAGTAAAATCAGTGGGGACTCCAGCTTCCTCTATTTTGCTTGAAATTTCAAGATGAAAATGTAAGCCTATATTAATCATGTAGTTTTAAAACTCTCCCTGAAGTTAATATGACAATTTTTAAATATAAGCACATTTTCCTTTCAAACATATTCATTTAAAATGTGTATATCATCACATATTTTTATTTTAAAAGGGCCTGAATATTTTTCAACCTTATTAAAACCATAAGAATATTTTCAAGGTGGGGGAGTGGTAAGGTTATCTGTTGCCATTCTGGTTTCTCTATATAAGGACTTTAATCTCTATGTTATCACTGCAAGAAAACATCATCTCAGCATTAAGGCACATGCAGTCTACATTCTCTAAATAATTCTAAACAAATCTGATATCAAACATCAGTGCTGCATCAGAAAACACATACCTGTAGAATGTCCAACAACATAACAATATTGCAAAACATCAAGGATCTTCTGGAAGGGTTATGGCTCCAGTGGAGAACTGGTCTTTTTGTTAATCAGGAACCTTACTTTTGGATTCTTTTTCCAAAACTCTGTATAGCTGTGCTGGGGCATAAATTTAAAAGTGTTCCATATCTCATGATGATGTCTTGGAAAGCGTCTGAAAATTGGGACTACCACAGCTTCCTTATAGACATATGATATTTGGTTATTTGAAAAGCCATCGAGACAAGATGGAACATAGTCACATGCCCAAAGATTGAAATTTCTTGAAACGTGTTGCCTTTTTTCTGGGGAGATCTTCTTACGTCCCAAGCCCTGGAGAAGGATCACAAGCGGATTAGGAGGAAGATATTCAAGGCCACACAGTTTGGAGGTCTTTAATAAAACCACCTCCACAACATCCTGTGTTTAAATGACCACTCTTATAGGAGCAATCCTTTATCAACTTGTGGGAGGCTGTAAATTGACACAACCTCCTTATTCTCATAGCCTTCACACAACCTCCTTATTCTCATAGCCTTCCACTCCCACCAAAGGGGCTTGGCTTCTAGATACATGGATGGCTGAACCAGAGAGATCCCAGCCTGGACAGCCAGGAAGCCCGTGTAGGTTCTCTGCACCCAGGCGGCTGTATACACCCCCAGCTGCATCCCCAGCACTCAGTGGGAGGGCTCTTACTCCGAGAGATCTGAGGATTCTCTCCCATCCCAGAGGATTCCCAGTGAAGGAAGCAGCGCCTGGTTCTCCACCCACAGGCTTCCTCCTCAAATCTTACTAATGTGGCCATTAGAAAATTTACAAATTACATATGCAGCTCATATATCTATTTCCATTGCACAGTGCTGTGTTAACAACCACTAACCAGCACCATCAGACTTTTTATCAGTGATGGGGAAACACCATCTCCAGGAACAAGATAACTGTAGTTAGTAGGGGCTCCTTCTTTATATCATGAAAACTCCCCATCCTTTCCTTGGATGCCTCCTTATGGGTCCTGGCTCCACCATCCAGAGACACACATAGGCAATCCCTCCTTCTCATGACAGATCTTCACAGAAGAAAGCTCACAAATTAGACGGTTTATGGGAAAGCACTTGGATAAGCATGAAATTCACAAAAACCTAGGCAGGAGAGAGGATGGTGTGGATTTTGAAAGCCACGTGGGAATTTGAGAATTTATGTTTCCCCCCATTCCCCGGCCTGGTAAACTGTTATGAGGCTTTAATTTTATTCCAATTTTGAGGCCAGTCGTCAATCTTCACCAGCTCTCAGAAAATCAAGAGCCCTGATGTTGCTGTTCATTTTTTTAGCAATGTGGAGAGAAATACTCACAGAGTCAAGGTAGAACCCAGAGTCCTGAAAGCTGTGACTATTGTCGTGATCAGAGAAGGGGAAGTTGTTATTTACTGCTTGCTGGAAAAGAGCCAGGCGAGAGATAAAAAGGCACACATCAGAACCACAGCAGGCTTCCAGAACCTGCCTACAGTGGCCTGGAAGGAAGATGAAGGAGGCAAGTTGACCTCTAAGTGAGAACTAAACCCATCCACAGCAATGGAGCAAACAGTGAGGGGGCAAGGGCTTAGGTGTGTACATCAGCTCAAGGCTTTGAAACTCTACTTCATTGCCAGCTTTCTTAAAATTACAACAAATTCTCTTTAAAATACCTTATTAAGAGACAAAGTCAATAAAATACCTTATCGACTTTCAATACCTATTGAAAGTCAGTAGGCATGGAATTGAAGGCTGGAAAGGAATTCTGAAGCCATCGTCTTCGTCTGGCCAGTAAGGGTCCTAGTAGGCCAGAGCTCTCTGGTCCAGGGTGGCTAAGTGTGAAGTCAACCCCGCTTCTACCTCCGGCCACTTGTGGCCCCTTAAGCTGCTTATGAACTGGCCAGGGAGGTAGAAATGCGTGTTAAGCGCTCTGTCCATAGAGGAGTAACTGTATCGTCTGGACCAGGAGGTAGTTCCTTCTAGAGAGTATTTGAGGAGCCATAGTGAGCAATTATGAAGTGAGGATGCTGCCAGAATGTAGGGATCCAGGGAGAGCTAGTGAGCAGTTCCCTCCAAGCAGTACCACCCCCTTGGAGAACCAGGCTAGCGCACTGGACTCACCTTCTCCCGCACTTTGTAGATCGGCGGAAGTTTCTCCTCCACTTGCCGAGATAAACGTGGACTGTGGGACTCTTTCAACATCATACTTGTGATGGATTCTGGCGTCTTTTGTGTTAGTCCAATGTGAGGGAACTGGAAAAACAGCACACGCCTTGATTAAAACCAGACACATCTGAATCTCAAAGCCAAGTATCAGGGCTTCCTCTGTAAAAGGATTAAAATGCAATTTGGGTGCTTCTGGCATGCGATGGAAATGGCATAATTTTCGTAATTTTCAAGTATCCTTTCCAAGACAAAAAATATTGTCATGGCCCAAGGCCACCACTGCCGGTTGTTTCAAGTTACAGGGGCCACCCTGCTGCTCGGAGCCTGGAAATGGTTCCGTGGCCTGGGGAGGGGGGTGCGGTCCCACGAGAGGGAGCCAATGAGCTCCAAGGAGACAGAGTGTGTTATTTGAGACCTTCCTGGTGGTCAGGGAGTGCCCCATACTCAGGGCCAAGCATTTGGCCCACATTCCCAGGGTTGAGCCAACCTCCTGCAGGTAGGAGGCGGACCTTCGGGCACGGGAGGGTGAGAAGGGTTGCATGAGTCTCTACAGAAAATGATGGTAGAGGCTGGGAAGATTATTTGGATGCCAGGGGTGAGCTGGGAGTGGGCTTTAGTATCTCCCTGTGAACAGGAGGGAAGGAAACAGGACTGATTTGGGGGAGGTGGTCCCAAAGAAGGTCCAGACCAACCCCATAGGGAGCTCTAGACAGAGTGGCTTCTCAGAGTCGGCCTGATGGAGTGAGAGGACTCTGGTCCATCAGTCACTGGGTAGAAGGAAAAGGTGGAGGACCCAGGAAGCAACTGACCTTGAGGAAGAAGCTCTTTTCAGCCAAGGAGATCTAGGGTTGGACCCCGCCCCCCCCCCAACCAAGCCACGCTCTCAGCAGCTAGGCCAGGAGTCCATTCCCAAAGAGGGATGTAGGTTCTGCTTGATGGCCACTGTAGCTCACCCCAATTTTACATAAAGAGCTCCTCTACAAAGTGGCCTTTGAAGTGGTGATCTATAGGAGAGAAATATGAATGTATGAATGGAAACTAAGATACAAATAAAAGGCAAGACCCCAACTCTCAGTGAAAATTCTTGCAAAAGGAGGTAACATAATGTGAGAGTGGGTCATAGACAATAGATTCAACGTCCCTGGGTCCAATCCCAGCTCTCTCTCCTATAAGGTCAGCCTTCCGCAAGAGACTTAATTTTTCCAGGTCCCAGTTTCTTTATCTGTAAAATGGGAATAATAGTAACCTACCTGATAGAGTGCATGCATGCTAAGTTGCTTCAGTCATGTCCAACTCTTCCCGACCCCATGGAGTGTAACCCACCAGGCTCCCCATCCATGGGATTCTCCAGGCAAGAATACTGGAGTGGGTTGTCATGCCCTCCTCCAGGGGATCCTCCCAACCTAGGGATTGAACCTGCGTCTCCTGTGGTTCCTGCATTGCAGGTGGATTGCTCACCATTGAGCTACTGGGGAAGCTCCACTTGATTGAGAAGATGTGATTAAAAGAGAAAAACACATGCACCCAAACAGTATCCCCTAGCTGTTGACAGGTTCTGTTCTTGCTCACAGCTGTCCCCTCCCTTATCCCCAGACCCACTGTCACACCAAAGGCCAGTCTTTCCTTGTCTTCAGGATTACAATGATATTGGTTAACACTGTTGTTTTCTCCCATTCCTTCTCAAGTCATGATGTAACTGTACATATAACTATGGCCTTTGTTTAATCTCTGCACAAGAGTGCATTTAGTATGCTACCCTTATGTCAAAAGGTGGAGAGATTATGTCATCTATATGGTACACTCAGTGGGGCATTGTTGGCAGAGAAAATGAGAAGCAATGGTTTATACGACACATAGCAATGTGGAAAAGAAGAAACAGAATGAGCTCTGTAACCCAACACCATTTACATAAATAAATAATCCATGCACACAAAACAGCACTACATAATTTACAAGAATACGTCTCAGTAACAGAGCTCCCATTAAACACGTGTGAGTGGCTGCCCATGGGGTGAGCAGAGCAGGAACAGGTATTAAGAGCAAGGAAGTGACCACATGAACCAACCAACGTTGTATGGACTGGCCCTGCTATGGATAAACGACAGGGTCACTTTGGAGGAGGGCACCATGGAAATGGGTTTCCTTGCCATCCTTTAAACATTTCTTAACTAAGTGCATCTATTACAATGCCTCATTTTCCACAACAAGAACAATCGCCTTTGTTTTTGATTACCGTTGTAATACTTGCTCATGGGTTTAAAAGTTCAGACAATAAAGAAACACTTAAGGGAGGAATCAGGTTGTATTAGGCTTCCCAGGTGGTGCTAGTGTAAAGGACCCACCTGCCTATGCAGGAGATGTAGGAGACATGGGTTCCTTCCCGGGGCCGGGAAGATCCCCTGGAGGAGGCCATGGCAACCCACTCCAGTATTCTTGCCTGCAGAATCCCATGGACAGAGGAGCCTGGTGGGCTATAGTCCGTGGGGCCACAAAGAGTCGGACATGACTGAAGCAATTTAGCACACACACAGGACTGTATTATGTGATTTCAAAAAATTACAAATACCTTAAAAAATTTAACAGTTAACTTTTGGGAATTCCCTGGCAGCCAGTGGTTAAGAAAACAAAAACAAACCCAGTAACTTTTGGTTACCCTCTCCTCCCTCTTCTTGTCATCCCAGATAAAAACGATAATAACAATAGCTCTCATATATTCCTTCACAAACACCTGTACCTACAAAGGGAACTTACACTGCTATACAAAAGTTGGACCATATAACGCATACTATTTTGTACCTCACTTTTCTTTTTTCCATTTTTTATGGGAGTATAATTGTTTTACAGTGTTCTGTTAGTTTCTGTTGTACAACAAAGTGAATCAGCTCTAAGTATACATATATCCCCTCCCTTTCGAGCTTCCCTCCCACTTCCACATCCCACCCCTCTCGGTCATCACAGGGCACCAAGCTGAGCACCCTGTGATCTACAACATAACTTGCTTTTCTTGCTTAACATTGTTGTTGTAGTTCAGTTGCTCAGTCGTGTCCAACTCTTTGTGACCTCATGGACTGCAGCACACCAGGCTTCCCTTCCTTCACTATCTCCTGGAGTTTGCTCAAATTCATCACTTAACAATATACCCCCCCCAAAAAAAAAATACCCTAGAAATTTTTCAAAGTCAGCCTATACATTTCTAATTCATTCTATAGTATATATATATATATATATATATATATATATATTTATGTTTTTAAGCAATTTTTAAGTAAATATAAATAATACAAAGGGCCTCCAGACTCAGAGCCTTTCTCTTTTCTCTTCCTCCAATCTGCTTTTCCAAGTTATGGAGAATCAGGCCATGGGTAGGGAGTTTTTCTACATCTGGAAGGGTTCCTCTCACCAGCTGATGACTGACTTGAGTTCATTTGTATTCTGCAAGACTGTGGACTAAATCACTGTAAAAAAAAAAATGGCTCTAGCATTTTAATTTCACTCTTTTAAAATATATATTTAATGGCTATAACATGATAGCTGTGAAATAAACCCTTCTGTTAGATATTGTAACCGTGAAATATAGCTTTTTAACTAGTTGGCGGTGAAATTTTTGCTGCATTCAATCACTCAATGACTGAAATATTAAACAGGAAGGTGAACGTGTGTGCAGAGTGCCTTTTCTACTCGGCAACAGCCAGATCATCACCAGCAAGGTCAGCTGTGAAATGACTGTCACCTCCAATGTGGCAATTACTGTCTCCGAAATGGGCTGCTACTGACACAAAACCAACAATTTCCTTAATTTTCCCAACTTGTCTACAAGTTACTTAGGGAGACTTCATGTCAGCACTGTTCTTTTTATTCTCTTAGGTGCCGGCAGCAGAAAGGAGACCCACATCATAGGCTCTGGTTAGATTTTGGGGAAATTAAGTCTTCCTTCCTAAACTGGTTCCTTGTACATTCCTAGGATCCCCACTAGGAGATGCCATGCTCTTTCTTGATTTCTCCCTTATTATAGAACACTAACTTTGGAGTAGCAACATGGCTGGTTTAAAAAATACTTCCCGAGGACTTCCTTGGTGGCCCAGTAGTTAAGACTTCACACTTTCAGTGCTTCCGCTGCAGGGGATGTGGGTTCAATCCCTGGTCAGGGAACTAAGATTGCACTAAGATCGAGGCTTGGTAAAAAAAAAAAAAACCCTCCTCCAACTCCCTTGCAGCTAAATTGGACACGTGACCCTTGAAATGAAAGCCTAAGTCTGTGGGTGGGGCTCCTGGTTCGCCACTAAGGGACACACACCACAGTAGCTTTGAGCTCTTCTGCAGATACTGAAGGTCCTCAGGAGGGAGAAGTCAGCGGTTAACCATGGTATGCAGCCCACAGGGGCATCGACCCCAGACCAGTTGGACCTGAAGGTTGATGATGCTGACTCGCACTTACCTCACCGCCAACCCGTCAGAAGAATGTCCACAAGCTGATCACGCCCTGTTTGAACCATTACTATGAACCTCCTCACTATCCTCTCCAAGCTGGGACATATGTTTCCAAGGCAGGAGTCCACTGTGTCCCCCTTTGCCTGGCAAAGTTATTAAGTTATCCTTTTTTACTTCACCCAAAACCCTGTTTCTGAGATTCGATTCCGCAGTGGTGCACGGAGCAGCTGAGTTTTTGGCATCATTGTTACTCAAGGACACAAACCCTTCTCTGGTTAAGGCTCTGTAGTCAGCTATTTATAATAATATTCAGTCAGGCATAATCCTGATACTGTAGATGATAAAAAGAGGCCGAGCTCTTTAGCCTGAGAAGCTTGTTTCTTCCTGACCAGTTAGTGCATGTAGTTCACACTATTCATCATCTCTCTTTAGCTGCCAGGAAACTCAGAGTCAAATTTGTTTGACTCCAAATATCTATTGTTTAAGCCATATGGCCTGCATATCTATGTTATGTATTTTCTATTTTCTATGTTTCTGTGTTATATATTTTCCCAGTCTCAGTCTCTTAAAGTATATTTAAACTGGTTCTGAGGTTTTGTTTTTATATACTTTATACTTTATTTTTAATATTTTCCACTCATTACTTTAAACCTTTGTGGAATGGAGCAGGGTATCCAACAGGAAAGAATATCAGTATAAATATATACCCATCCCATCTTGTGGGTACCAAAACCCAGGGATGCTCAAGTTGCTTAGTTTGCCTTTGTATCCATGGGTTCTACATGGTGGACACATATACTGATATCACATATATACATATATATTATGTATATAATAGTTAGCAACAGTGTTTCCATGCATTATACTAAGCACCTTTGTACCGATTGTCTCATTAATCCTCACCATGGCCTCTAACCTTGGTATATTATGCTTCCATTTAACAGACAAAGAGACTGAGATTAAGCCTTCAGGCCCCAATTTTCCAACATATTTTCCATTTTTTTTTTGTTTTAAACAAATCTTTAAAAAAATTTTCTATGTATTACTGCCCTAAAAGAGGTTAGTACCACTGTTTCCTGTGATACAACCAGTGGGGAAAAAAACAAAGATACCAGGTCCATGGAATTTATATTCTAGGAGGGAGAGAAAACGACACATGTAATAAATTATATAGTAGGTCAGAAGATGGGTGTGTGCCTGGTAAGTCACTTAAGTCCTGAACAGCTCTGTGTGACCCTGTGGACCATAGCCCGCCAGGCTCCTCTGTCCATGGGATTTTCCAGGCACGAATACAGGAGTGGGTTGCCGTGCCCTCCTGCAGGGGGTCGTCCTGACCCAGGGATCAAACCTGTGTCTCTTACGGCTCCTGTATCGGCAGGAGGATTCTTTACCGCTAAAGCCACATGGGAAGCCCATGTCAGAAGATAGACGTTATGGAAAAAAGAAAAAGCAGAGAACACAGCAATCACTGCCTCGTGGACATTCACAAGATACCAGTCTGCTGAGTGGTTTGTGCACAGACTAATTTCATCTGATCCTCCAAGAATCAGATATGAGATTCCCATTTCACAGGTGAAAGAACTGACACGGGATGAAGGGATCTGTCAGAAGTCATACTATGCTAAGTAGCAGCAGTAGGATCTGAGCTCAGTTCTGTGCCTGACCACACTCCTGTGGTCTGAGAAAGGTGAGAGAGGGTATCACCCTTCTTACCCATCTTCCATCCTTGTCTAAGGGTGGGTTGAAGCGTCTCCCTTTGACCATTCTGTGCAAGAAACGGAAGGGGGCTGAGACTGCCGCTCTTATCCCTCCATGGCCTCATGAGCTCTACACCTGGGAAGCCACTCCCCCTTGATCCTGGCCTCTAATTCGCGGGCTCTACCTGGCAGGGAAGTCCGGGAGTGGTCCCTGTTGTCATAGCATCAGAGCCCACCCGTCACAATGGGGCAGGAGCGCGGGTCCTCCAGCCAGCCAAGGGCTCCTGCTGCTTCGCAGGAGGAGCCCCACACGCAGGCCAGACAGGTGGGCTCCAGACAGTCCTGAGACAATGGCCCACTCCACACCCTCCAAATCCTCCAACAGATGACTTCTGCATTGAATATCTTCACGGTCACCATCTTCCCCAGCCTCTTGGTTTTCAGAGATGTGAGCTGACTCCGCCTTGTCTACAGCCCTGGCATGACCCAGGACATGGCATGACCCAGGCCAGGACCCAGATCTCCCCACGGGCTCCGTTCATGGCTGCTTCCCTGCCCAGCTGGGGCTCACTCACTGCGCGTTCACCATGCTGCACACAGCTGAGACTGTGAGGAAGAGGCAATCATGAGTAATTATTCAGTGCCAGGGGTTGTGAAGAGCCCTTTTCACGTGTTTTACAAACCGTTGGTGTCTACAAATGAGGAAACAGCACCTTGTACCCAGTGAGGGGGTTGCCAGGTCACAGGATGGCTCCAGGGCTCGCGAGCCTTTTCCGGGGCCAAGTGGTCTCCCCCAAGCTGTGGAGGCAGCTCCTGAGAACTGGTCTTCCTCCAGGGCCCGGACATGCAAGTGCGGCCTCACTTCTCAGTGAGGTGATTTCCGCTTCCCTTCCTCCCTCCCTTCCTTCCTTCCTTTCTCTCTTTCTCTTTCTTTTTCATTCTCTCTTCCTTCTTTCTCCATCTCTTTCTTCTTTTCTTTCTTCATTTCTTCCTCTCCCTTCCATTCTCCTTTTTTTAACGCCCTATCTTGACCATTCTATCAGCTACTCGAGACTACAGGAGACTCTGCCTGGCTCTCTTGGTAGGAAATTGTATCCTCATCCCTCTCTTCTCCTAATCATGGCCAGGGTGTCCTCACAAGAGCTGCGTGTCGGGGACATGGGACCTCTGCCCTGGTGTCCTCCCAAGAGCTGCGTGTCAGGGACACGGGACCTCTGCCCTGGCCAGCACTGAGGGCCCAGGGCGGTGGGCTCCTGGGTGAGATGCCTGCGGGGGAACACAGACCGAGACGGAGCAGGTGTTAGCAACTTCCACTCACAGACGGGGGAAAGCAAGTCTCAGAGAGGTGAAGGGACTCCATCACAGTCATACCGCTAGTCCGTAGAAAAGTCCGCATGAGAACTCAGATGTGTCGAGGCCAAAGTCAATGACAGCATCAAACAGGATTCATTTCACTGCATTTCCCTGACCCCGTTTGAATTAATGGGCACTGAATTTACTAGGATTGTTTATCATTCCACTTCTTTCGTCTGCATGAAAGTGGGCCTGACTACACGCCGGCCTGTCAACCACGATCCCTCCCCACGGCGAGCCTGGCAGGCTGGGAGTCAATGACCGCTGTTGCCTGCTCCTCCACTGGCCCCCCTCCCAGTGGACGCACTGCCATGGAGCCCAGCACAGATGGAGAAGAGGGATGAGGTGCCGGACGCGGCTTCCCCCACATCCCAAGACTGAGAGCAAAGCAATGAGGGAGGAGGGAGCCAGAGACAAAAATCTAAAGCCAGTGCCATTTCCAATGTAGTGTTCCATGGGCATTCACTTCATCTCCACCAACAGAGCAGAAAATCCTCTAGATCTGAAGTCTCATCTCTGAATATATTCTCGTCTCCTCTGTAATTTAGTCTTCTGCTCTGTTAAGCAAGGTATATGATCACTGGTTAAGGTGTTCACCAGTTTCCCCCTTTTAAATGATGGTTTACAATTCTCAAAAATGTGTCCAAGAAAAATCAAAAGTGAATACAGAAAACCCGGCCAGGAAAAACGAAATACAGTTTTTCTTCAGCTAGGATTTCTGAGCGGCAGATTCGGGTGGGGTGTTTCGTTGTTGAGGTTGTTCTTTTCAGAGTTTTGAATTACTGGGCTGAACCTGGGGGCCCACCATGCTGGTAGCAAGTCCTGTAAACACACAGGGCTCTCAGATCCCTGGGGCTGAGAACACCAGAGGGTGGAGCCCCGTCCTGCCTTGGGTCTTTGCACGTGCACGCTCTGCTCAGAATGCAGAGATGCAGAGCAAGCTGTCAACGCGGCTGCGGAGGCAATGATGAGCACGTGGCTGTGTTCACTCGCTCAACAAGCACAGAATGCACACCCACTATGTGCCAGCTCTGCGTTCCAGCAGCACCAAGACGATCACCAACACCAGTTTTTTGTCAGTGGTAAATCACGGACAGTTTTTTAAAATGTCAGGAATATATATTAGCATTCACTATTTTTAGGCCAATTGTAAGTCAGAAGTGGGGCCTCCCTGGCAGCTCAGAGGTAAAGAATCAGCCTGCCAATTAAGGAGATGCGGGTTTGATCCCTGGGTTGGGAAGTTCCCCTGGAGGAGAAAATGGCAACCCACTCCAGTGTTCTTGCCTGGAGAATCTCCTGGACAGAGAGGAGTCTGGCAGGCTACAGTCCACGGGGGTCACAAAAGAGTCGGACGCGACTGAGTCACTGAACAACAAATTGTGGATATGCCAATACATCAGATGACCAGGACCCCAAATTATTGATTAACCAAAAATTATTTTCCGCGAGCCATCTGTCACATTTATGCCTAATTGTTCCATCCAATGTATTTTTTAACACAGCAGCTGTTTGTATAATTCGACTTTTAGATCTTTGCATCCAAAGTGTTAAAGACCTTACGAAAGGCAGCTGTCTGTCTCTTTCTGTGCTTCCAGTGTGGTGTGCCATTCCTTGATTTAATTAAGGACTTGCCGTCTTTTGCAGGAGAGAAAGAGGTGGAACCACCAGTATGTTTTCACACATGCCTCTGCCACGTGCCCACATGTGCTGCCCCCAGAAACTCGCAGACCTGCACGCACAGGCACACTGTAATTCATCATGCCACCGAAGGGAAGATTTTGCCTCCTCGTTCATATCCACACATCCCGGACAATTTAACTAGCATGTGGGGGGAAATCTGAGGCATCTTCACATTCATAAAATGTTGAGCTCTGAGAAATTCTCCAGCATCTGAATTATAAAACACATTTTCGTTTCACTCTGCAAAGTAAACTATCTGGATTCTTTCTGCAAATAGCAACCAAATTGAGGTGACTCCATTGCATTTTTCTATTAGTTCATGATTCACACAAAACTAATGGAAATTACAATGAATGCACAACCTATTTGCACGTCACCTTGAAAAGTACCCAGGCATCGGTAACATGAAGCACTTTTTTTCCCTTGTTTTACCCTATCTTGCAAACTATCTGGAAAATTAACTGCATCTCTCTCCCTTCCACTCAACAATTCCTGGATCAAGACAAGTAAGACGAAATGAAAGACAAGAAGAAGAACTTGACCACCTTGGAAGTTTGTTCAGTTGAGAGGTAGAAATAACAACATTTATAAAAACCCTTGACTCCACAAATACGCACGAGTCAGCAAGGATGTGAGACATTGCTCAGGTAACAACAATTTTTGATAACCTTGCTGAAACATGAACTGTGATAAACTTTTCAAATCGTGTCTAGAGAAGCTTTTGCTTGATTGATAACTTGGAGAATTGGTCACTCAAAAAATTGCTGCAATCTAGCAAATTGTACTGGACACAGAGAAGGTCACGGAAAAACTGTCACCGTCCTCACGAACCTGACTCTCTGCTGGGGAGACAGACATTACACACAGAAAACTGGCTATAATTGGGAGAGGTTTCGGGGTGCTCAAGATCATATGACAGAGGGACCTGCGTGAATCTGAACGGTGACTAGGCAGGTAATGAAGAAATGAAGCGAAGAATGACTTCAGTGAATCAAAGGGAGAAGGAAGCATGTGCCAGGTGAATGGAGAGCCTGGTAGAGACCCTGATAGTGGGCAGAGCTTGACTCTCTCAGGAACCAGAAAGGAGGCCAGAGGATTGTGCAGGTTGGAGGTGATGTTGGAAAAATCAGGAAGCAGGCCACTCAGGGCCTCCAGGCTGAGAGCTGGTGGACAGGCACTTTGCCCTCTGTGACCTTGATCAGCTGGCCAATGTCAGCAGCAGGCAGAAACTCAAGGAACAGGTGACAGCAACATAACAGTTGAGAGCTTTGGCTTTTTTTAGAAAAAGCACCTTAGAGGTAAGACTCGCCATTAAGATTCAGTAGGTGTGCCAAGTTTATGCTGTCTCCAAATTCTGAAAAAAGGCAGGCAGAAATACTTAGTGTGAATCTCGTTTCTCCCGGGTGGGGTTGGTTACTCCTATTTTCTCTGTGTTTGGTGTTTGTTGAGGTTTATGTGAAGATGTGATGCTATTATTTTCAACCCCTGGAAAGTCAGCTGCTTTTGTCCTCTCGCAGTGTGAATGGGACAGTCCTCTGAAGACACAGAATAAAAGACAGCAGTAATTACAAGTGTGGTTCAACACAGAGGGCACTGGAATGGAAAATGCCAGCCTCCACCATCTTAAAGCCAAACCGCCAAATAAATATATATTTTTCAACTGAAGAGAAAATGAACAGTGTCTTGGAAGGTGACGGAAAGTTCACCTCTATCCCACACCAGGAGAGGAGAGGGGAGACAGGTCCCCCAAGGTAAGAAGAGACCTGTAGACCTTTTCAAATCTCCTCTCTCCTCTTATTGTATACCATAAAACATAATGGAGATTTCATCAACTTGGCAGCAAATTGCGAACTAATAAAAAAGCATTATTACAAAGATAATAAGAGGACCAAGTCATAAATGACAGACGTGGACTGAGTCCTGGTATTAGGCAACACTTTCTCCAGCTCAACAGGAATCCAAGGTTCATCAATTCAGTTAATTGTGTGGATGACCACCAATTTGTCCTTTCTTTCTCTGCTCTTTCTTCACATT